TTGTGAAAATGTTTGATAAGTCTTATTACAGGTACGCGTTGGTGGAATGAATCTTCGAATCATAGTAGAGCCTCCTTGAATTCTGGTCGTTTAATATAAGATACCTACCTTTATACCTACAAACATATTTGCTTTATCTTCTCTGCAGCACAACTCCAAAAACTGGAGATTTTTTTCCATTTTCTTCTTTCCATATATTACGTTGTGATTCGGGAGTTCGTAATCTGTGATGTTTTTACGAGGTATATTACTGAAGTAGTCTTATTCCCCAAGGTTCGTTTTATCCAAAGCTGCAGTTACTTTGCACTCATGCTACAAATACATCTCTAATTAATAAGGCTACTTAACGATAAATTTTTTGAATTGTTGTGGTAATAGCTGAACAGTATTACAGACCTTTCACATTAGTTTAACAGACCAAATGATAAAATTTTTAGTTTGATCACGGATAGGCTATACTGCAGTGTTATAGGCAAACGTAGAGCTCAAACCAGCGCCTCTATCCAAGTGTCGTTCATTCTTTTCGTCGTTATTTGATGCGGGTAGGAATGATGCGGCCTGATGATGCGAAAATTAAGTCAAAAACATTATCAAATTATTTCCACCTCTGACCTGCTGTCTCCTCAAGGCTTCATGCGATTGGGATCCTGGCTGCGCTACTGCTCCACCTTGAAGTGATAGTCGCAGCTGGGACGATAAAGCAGATTTTAGGTTTTTCTGAAAAAAATTGACAGCTGTTTTTTCTGGCTGAAACAGTATCTCACTCACCGCAAAATTCCCCACAAGTGAGTTAGGATTTGCCTTCCTCGCCTCTATCCTAGACCTGTATAGAAATTCACCGAGAGCTGCTATCATCGAAGCAATCATACCTCCCATAAGAATATAGAAGATACCGGCTACTTTTGACAAGTTGAGAGAGGCTGAAGATCCATCCTGTAATTTGTTTAACTCTAGTTCTATGTTTTAGTTGGAGGGGCAGGTACGGATAGGTTTTTGTTTTGGTAAAATTGGTTAAGTTCATGTAGTGTAACTCTAGTTCTTTGTTTTATTTGCAGGGGCAGGTACGCTTAGGTCTTTGTTTGGTTAAAGTGGC